GAGCTCGGTGAATGTGTCATGCCTGTCTAGTGAGATTCGTGATGTAGTGTTAGCTTTGTTGAAATTTATTAGCAAAAGGCAAAAATAAAACCAGCACACTTGAAGAGGGATGGCTTTGAAGTGTTTTGTTTTTTTTTTTTTTCTGGCATAAATTTGGCTTTTTCTTCAAAAGGGCTGGCCTGATAGTCATCATCTCTACTTGTTTGTATTAGGCAATAGGTCTCAGGGCAGTAGAGGTTAAAAAAGAGAAAATTCCAGCTGGCAGTCATTTCTTCTCTTAGTTAGGTTCCCATTTAAGCAAAAGACAAGATAATCCTTTCACTAACTTCCTTTCTTTTCTGTGATTGTGTTCTGCCTTGGGATATGACTGTAGATTCTGTAGTTTGCAAATGACAGTGTTTGGGTTAGGGTTTTCCCCCCCCCCCCAATCATTATTCAATTTTTCTGTGTTTTGGGAGTGGAGAGCTTGTATTTCCAATGCAAATCTTAATACGTGCTTGGAAAGATGTAAAATTGTGAATGTGTGTCATAAGGAGCAGATCTTAGCAGGGAAAGTCTAGAAGCACAACCGTGTATGTACGTTGCTGGGGAAGGACTATTCATTAGGGACTGTAGTGACAGGACAAGGGGTAACGGGTTAAAACTTAAACAGGGGAAGTTTAGATTGGATATAAGGAGGAAATTCTTTACTGTAAGGGTGGTGAGGCACTGGAATGGGTTGCCCAAGGAAGTTGTGAATGCTTCATCCCTGGCAGTGTTCAAGGCCAGGTTGGACAGAACCTTGGTTGACATGGTTTAGTGTGAGGTGTCCCTGCCCATGACAGGGGGGTTGGAACTAGATGATCTTAAGGTCCTTTCCAACCCTAACTATTCTATGATTCTATGATTTCTGTGGAGATATCCACAGCTCTCTTGCTGAGATATGGCCATCTTTTGGCTTTTGTTGGGAAGTCAGTTTCCAACCAGTGAAGTTGTCGTTCGAATAACATATGGCAGTTTAGGTCTCCCTCTGCATCTCAGACTATTGTTTTGATGCCTAATAGCATGTATTGAATATTATGTACTCCAGCCATGGTAGTACTTACCTGCACTGGTTAGAAATAAGCAGATGGATGGACAAGTCAGTCATTTATCTGACTATAAACATGGTTTTATCATATTAACGTAATGTTATTTGAATAGATTGTTATTAGCCTGGCTGTAAGACTGTAAGATAAAATTTATTCGTATCACTAATGCCTATTCTCCAGTGTACAGCACAATGTCATACAAAATCTTCAGCCAATTAATTTCACTGATGATGCCTTGAAAGTGTAGGTGACTTGTTCCTAGCTGTTTTCTGTTTTCGGTCACTAGTTGAGGCCAGTAGGGGACCAAGACTGAAAGGTTCAAAGACTGGTCTGGTTTTGATCTTCCCTGAGGAGAATGAGGTTTTGTGGTGCTTTTGGAGCATCTCAGATATCCTTCCAGCAGAGACATTCAGATGGCACAGATAGGCTCTGAGAAGGAGATATGTTTCACTTAGCAAAGAACAGCTTCTCACATTAGACCTTTGCTTTGGTGCGGAAGTTTCCTGGTAGCTTTGACATGAGGCAAACATGTCTCTTAACTCCTTTTCCATCTTGACAGATTTAGTCCCATGGACCCCCAGCTCAGGACATAGGTTGCTTGAGGAGAGCCACTGCTTTTAGATTTTCTTTTTCTATCTCCATGGAGATAGAGCTCTCCAAGCTTATTGGCTTTACTGACTCACCTCAAACTCCATACCCCAGACTGGAAGGACTTCGATAAATAAAGGTTTGATTGACAAGTCTTGTCATCAGGCTTATAGTTAAAAGCAAAACCAATACAAAGTTATAGGACTGGTGCCACAGCCAGGGTTTCAGCTACTTAGGCCATGGGACTTGCTTTGAGAAACCTGGTCTACTGGGGTACATCTGTCAGGGAAGAGGAATTGCCTCTTTGGTCATAGGCTTGCCAAGCCATTGAAGAGGGCTTTAAACTTAAGCGACCGGGGGGCAGAAACCTCAATCCATCCCACTCCTACCAGTTTGGTGCCAGAGCCAGCAAGAGATGCCCAGAGCCTGGAGAGGGATCACAGCTCAGCAGGAGAGCACCTGAAGAGCAGCACAAAGGAATTCCTGCCCCTCTGGCCAGTCAGTTGGGTTCACTGGGGGCCCAACTGAAATGCCCCTGTGCAAACGCATGTAGCATGGGGAATAAACAAGAGGAGGCAGAGACATGCATACACCTGCAGGGTTATGATCTTATTGGAATCATGGAGAAATGATGGGATGGCTCTTATGACTGGAGTGTTGGAATGGAGGGATACAGGCTTTTGAGGAAGGACAGATGGGTAAGATGAAGAGGGGGTGTCACCCTCTATGTCAGTGACCATCTGGTCATATGTCATGACCAGATGGAGCTCTGCCTGGGGATGGATGACAAGCTGACCAAGAGCTTATGGGTCAGGATTAAAGGGAGGGGAGGGACAAGTGATATTATAGTGAGGGTCTGCTACATGCTGCCTGACCAGGAGAACCGAGTGGATGAGGCTCTATACAGATAGGAGCAGCCTCACATTAACAAGCTCTGGTCCTCATGCGTGACTTCAGCCACACTGTTGAAGGGCATAAGCAATCCAGCAGGTTCTTAGAATATATTGATGATAACTTCTTCCTCCAAGTGATAGAGGAGCTAGTGAGGAAAGGTGCTATGCTGGACCTTGTACTCACCAACAAGGAGTGGCTGGTGGAAAATGTGAAGCTGGAGGGCAGTCTTAGTTTCAGTGACTACGAAATGGTAGAATTCAAGACATTTAGGGTGGTGAGGAGTGTGCGCATTAAGCTCCCTGCCCTGGACCTCAGAAGAGCACACTTTGTCCTCCTGAGGGATCTGCTTGGTGGAATACTATGGGATAAAGCCCTGGAGGGAAGAGAGTCCCAAGAAAACTGGTTAGTAGTCAAGGATCACCTCCTCCAAGCTCGGGACTGATGCATCCTGGCAAGGAGTAAGTTGGGTAGGAATGCTAGAAGGCCTGTGTGGATGATCAAGGAGCTCCTGAACAAACTCCAGCATAAAAAGGATACCTACAGAAGGTAGAAGCAAGGACAAGCAGCATGGGAGGAATGCAGAGAAATTGTCTGAGCAGATAGGGATATGTTAGGAAAAATAAAACCCTGATAGAATTATGTCCGGGGACATCAAGGGCAACAAGTAAAGCTTCTGTAGATACATTGGTGATAAAAGGAAGATTACAGAAAAGGTGGGCTGTCTCCAAAAGGAAAGAGGAGGCCTGGTTACCTGGAACATGGAGAAGATTATGGTACTCAATGACTTTTTTGCCTCTGTCATCACCAGCAAGTGCTCCAGCCACACTGCCCTAGTCACAGAAGGCAAAGGCAGGGACTGGGAGAATGAAGAACTGGCCACTATAGGAGAGGATCAGGTTCAAGATCATCTAAGGAACCTGAAGGTGCACAAGTCAATGGGACCTGATGAAATGCATCTGTGGGTCCTGAGGGAACTGCAGATAAAGTGGCTAACCCACTGTCCATAATATTTGAGGAGTCATGGCAGTCAGGTGAAGTTTCCACTGACTGGAAAAGGGGAAACATAATCCCCATTTTTAAAAAAGGGAAAATTGAAGACCCAGGGAACCACAGACCAGTCAGTCTCATCTCTGTGCCTGTCAAGATCATGGAGCAGGTTCTCCTGGAAACTATGCCAAGGCACATGGAAAATAAGGAGGCGACTGGTGACAGCAAACATGGCTTCACTAAGGGCAAGTCCTGCCGAACAAATTTGGTGGCCTTCTGTGATGGGGCTACAGCATTGGTAGATAAGGGAATAGCAAATGATGTCGTCTGCCTGGGCTTGTACAAAGCATTTGACACTCTTCTACATGGCATCCTTGTCTCTAAACAAGGAAGATCCCTTCCAACCCATTCCGTTCTGTGATTCTGTGAAAGCCTACTTCTTGCCTGTGCTTGATAGTGGGACCAGCAAATAGGAAGGTGACAGTTATATGATAGTCACTAGGAAACTGCTGAGAAAACACACTCCAGCTTCTAAGTACACCTGTGTTTTAAACAGCTCTCACTGTCCTCCCAGTCCTTTTATCATTTCTTACAGTTAGGTTTTTGTAAATCTGCATGCAAATCCAGAGTGGCTTTGAGATATTTAACAGTCATTTCCCTGTTTTCTCTCCTTCCCTGTTCCCTCCCTCCCATCCGCCAGTTTACTTCATCCGCACATCAGCTAAAGGACATGCTGATAGTTATGCTATTAATAACTATCCTTGGTTCTACACACTTTGCCAGCCACTCACCTTACCTTTGGTCTGGGCATGGAAGTTCTTCGTCCAGTCTGAGCTATTGGCTTTGCTCTAGAGGATTGATGCACCCCTGCCAAATGTAGAGTGCATCAGTTGTAGGAGGTCGTATGACAGTTGCTTCTGACAAGTTAACAGGATGATGCATAAGGTGTACATGTAACAGAGCGGGTTGCAGATGTCGTGTCCGAACTGCTCTGTGGTCTAAAACTGTACAGTTTTTAGAGGAGCATGGTGACTTGTATATGGCAGGAATAGTTGCGTTTCTTCCTTCTAAAAGCTTTTTCTGTTCTTCATCTAATTTTGTTGTACTAGTGGATGATAATTTTACATGTCTTTTGATAATTTGAATTTTGAATGCAAATTACTGATTTTTGAAGCATTGAATTTGCAGGTTTCAAATAAATGGAACTCCTTTTCCTCAGTATCACTGTGGAAATTTTCTGCTCCTTCTTTCCCTGCAATATCCTTATTTTCCTTCTCTCCTCTGTCCCTGCCTTGCTGTACCAAGATGTGTGACTGTCTGATTTATGTTCAGCATTTCAGCTTCGTTACAGCCCTTTCTTGCTATGTGCTGGTTGAAATGACTGATGCTTTTTAACATGTTACTAACTTGTGGCTTTGCATATACGATGTACATTCATATATGTCTTGTTCTTTATTCCAGAGATGGTGATGTTACTGGAATGGTGGTCAGGCACCAATTGCACTCTCTACACTGACCCACAAAGTTACTCCAAGTACGGGAAGGAGAATGCCATCGTAATCCTTAATCACAACTTTGAAATCGACTTTCTCTGTGGTTGGAACTTTTGTGAAAGATTTGGGGTCTTGGGGGTGAGTTTTCTTTAGCATTTAAAATAAACTTCCTCTTCTTAAATGCAGGAAAAACACCCCACAACAAATTCTTGCTCAAATTTCCCTCTCTAGAATTAGAGAGGTGAACGTAAAGCAGTGCAGTGCAAGTACAGAATACAGAGACAGGATTGCTGGAGCGTTCATGGAAGTGTTAAAAGCACTACAGTTATAGCTGATGGAGCTATTACTTTAACCTGAGGAGGTCATTACAGTTGTTTATTTCTGTGTGCTTGCTAGATAACTATTACGGTTCATTGTGCTGCAGAAGGATGAGCTGTTCTGAGATTCTTTCCCAGTAAATCGTAGACTTTGCTTTCTCCAGTGTAGTCTTACAAACCCACAGCTAGAGTTTGAATGATGTAGTCTCTGTCTCTCAGAATGAAAGAGCTGTCATCTCAAGTGAAAGCATTAACCAGGTTATAGCTAGTACGAGATGGGGGAGGAGTGACTTAGTCATGGTTAAATACACTATTAAGTTAGGCTAGGAGTACATGTGCATTTGTTTTCAGGGTGGTTTTTTCTCCCCTGTCAGCTCATGGGGATGATTCAAGCATCGCTCCTAAGACAGCTTGACTTAATTATTTGGTGGTGATGACATTCCCTGCCTACAAGGAATTTAGATAAGAGTTTCTTCTCCTAAGAAAGCAGACTAATACCTCATTTTGGCATATCTGCAGCGTTCTCTTCCAACTTTGCTGCTGGCTGCTGTCAAGTCTTGACCTTGGACTGTGTGAACCTAAGACATCTTGTGGCCTTTCCTTTGGACTCTGCATTTCCTGGACATTTAGGCACCACTCCAGTCATTTTCAAATTACAACAATGACAGTCTACTTAAATAAGAAAGGATTCTTAAAACTGGAGAAAAATGAACCTAAACATTACAGGCCCTGCATATTGCCAAAATGGCTGTTGGCTCCTGATCACTGAGGAACAATTCTACCATAATGTCTAGGACTTGAGAACAGAGCTGGAGGATAGCATAAGGCAGCTGGAGATGTAGGGAAACCTGTCCTAGCAGGCAGATGTACATGCCAAAAACATTCTCTCTTCTGTGTGCTTGTTATAGAGGTGTTTCTGAGTATAGCCTATCTAATTTTGTAAGCCGAATGGCTACAGTTCTTTAAATAAAACTGTGTTTTAGAGGATCAAGTGGTGCTTCAGAAAGCACCGTTGTAGAAAATTAAAGGATTATTTCTGTACAAACTAATAGGGACCTACAAGGTCAAAAATCTCCTGTTTTACATTGGTGCTGTGTGATTGGATTGAATCTCATTAGCTTTTATCATTTTTTTTTTTAATAGTTTCCCAGGGTAATCAGGATCATGTTTTATTTTTTTATATTGCTCCCTATGCATAAGAAAACCACCGTGTAGAAGCATAAATGTTGAACAATTACTGTGCTGCACTAACTGAAAATAATTTTCAGGTTTTTTTAGACGCTTACAGTCATTTCTCAGTTGTTTGGGGTTTTTTTTTTGCTATGTGCTTTTTAATTTTTTTTCCTATTTTTATTTTTTTAAACTATTTCAGTCTTGAGTAATGTACTTTTGTAGTTGAGTAATGTGGTTTTACTTCCCAGAAACTGCTCCAGGAAGAAATAGTTCCCATGTGCTGTCATTTGCATAGATGTCTTTACCCACCAAAGCAGTGCATTTCCCTGTTGGGGCAACCAGTTGAGATTAATCTTAATCCATTTTAAATTGAAAATTATGCACAATTGGTTTCCTGATTGGAGTGTAGCTTGGCCTGCCTTTGTGCTGCCTTACGTGAGTTTGCACTGTGCGAAGCTTCAGGGTTTGGTATGGCAGCACAACTAGGAATGTAGGACCCATTATCCTGAGGGATGATGGCTGGGAAAAGGAGTTAAAAAGACAAGCGTCCAGAGAGATTCCTAAGTGGCATCCCAGCCTCCAGCATTTTGTAGCTTAGGGAATTTATGCTCGGGTGGTGTTTTATATTTAATGCTCTTTGATTTTATACTCCATGAAATTTCTATGCAAGCTTTAGGTATCTACCAATACCTTACTAAGCTGATCTTGCGTCCCCTGCTACTGAAAAGAAAATCTTGCATATGCCATCCTGTCTCCTGCATCTGTTCTGGTGCCTGTCTGCTCTGTTTTGGCCTGTTTCAGAGACCCCCTTCTCTCTCTCCTGCCTTAACTAATACAGTAAAGAAAGGAGAGATGACTGGGGTAGGAGAAAAGGGTGAAGGTGAAGACGATTTAGGGCTGAAGGAACTGGGACTGATTGTGCTTGGCTGCAGCAGGCAGACAGAATGGCTTTGTTGTGACATCCAGCTGTACCCTGCAGCCACTGCAGACACCACCAGTGCTTTTAACAGTGTCACAAGCATGTGTCCAAACTCAGTATTTTGCAGCTTGAACTTTTATTAAATGAAGATACTAAATGCTGTTGTTTTTCACTTGGTAAGCCCAGTTTCACCCAGCAGACAGCTAAACACCTTACAGCCACTTCCTAAGTCCCCTGCACTGTCCTCAGTGGGATAGGGTAGAGAATTTCGGGGGGTGAGTGGGGGGAATAGACAATGCTAACATTGATGCTACTTTTAAATATTTTTCTTTAATATGATACCTCTGGAGTACCCACTGAAAATGCTCACAGGCAATGGGCTGAAAGTGCTGAGAGACAGAGACCTATTCATTTATAGTGGAGAAGGAGAAAACCGCATGAAGCAGCAATTCTGTGCTCGCTTTTACTCTTGCAAGGTATTGTAGCCACTGAGATTGTCTTGCTAGCTGCAGTTGGATTCTGTGCAGCAGAACTTACTGGTTTGTAATTGTTTGCAGAACCAAGCCTTAGAAGAGTTTTTGGTTATTGTTGGAAATTAGAAGGAAGTAAGCTTCAGAAAACCTAGAAGTCAACAGGGATTTCAGGCAAACCTGTTGTTCAGCCCAAACTATTAATCACTTACATTTGTATTCCACATGTGGCATGGTTTTTTTCTTTTGTAAAGGGATCTTCCTGTTTTGTTTTGTCTTTGACACCCATCAGCCACACATACCCACCTCCTTGTGCTGCCAGTCCTCAGTGATGTGTGCAGAAGGGAGAGAATGCAGGGGTACTTGATGACAAGTCAGCATCGTGCTGCTGTGGGCGGCATGGATGTCCACAGGGATGGTGGAGTCCCAGCTCCTCAAACAGAGGTGTACGCAGCAAGCTGTGAGGGAAGGAGGAGCTGCGCTTCTGACTTGGCTTTCTGTAGGGTTGGAAGTAGCATAGCCCCAACAGATAGAGCTTTATTCACACAAGTGTTTCGTAATAAAAGGACAGGTCTGTTATGACCCTGAGACAGGATGACTGTGATGATTGTGTTGTGGATTCTCTGCTTTTCCACTCCATGCTTGGTGCAATGGCTGGGGGAGATACTGACTCTGGTGTCTGTGTGTTGCTCTGTTGTGTAAATAGAGATGTGGTCTTGGTGATAGGTCCCTGAACTCTCCTGTGCTATGCCCTTTTCCTTTTTGTAACATTCTAGTCCTAGGACTTACCACCTTCTTAGTGATGGACAGCCTAGCTACTGTATAAGCATTTAAACACATCAGTAGCATTTAGTTTCTTCAAGTTGTAGGCTAAGTATCTCTTTAAAACAGACCCACTGGACACCAAGAACTTGTGGTCAAGACATAGGCATGTTCTGAGCAGGGAGGTGTTCTTCAGCATTTAGACCAAAAGCACGTTAATACACTCCCTGCCAGGATTCACTTTACTCTTCTGCATCTTTGGTTGATCTGACCCAGCAGTGATAAAAAAGCTCTTTAATTTTAGTAACCCTTTTTTCTGAGATGAAGTCAGTTGTATTAGCAAAATTTGTGTGTTCTTTAAAACTGAACCTGCCGCTTTATCTGTTCATCTTCTGCTGTCTTTGAGTTTTAAGTCATTGATGTGGGTGGTCTTTCTACCTTGGCAAAACATAAACATTATACTGAGCGGCTCAGTGTATTGGCATCAAAATCTGTGCATTTCCAAAAGAGGCCATAGTTTTTATTCCTTGGCAGGGTAAACAAGGCAGAAAACTATTATGAGTTAGTTGTTGTAGTTAGTTGTTAGTTGTTAACTACTTGGCTTTTAGTTTCTCATAAAAAATTGCCAAGCACATGTAATAATTTTTAACTGTCTGTTCTATGTGCTAGGAAACCTAAATTTTATTTAAAAGCTGTTTATGTTGAAGCTGGCTGTTGGAAAAACTGAGTATGACTTTAAATATAGGTGTGAGCAGTTTTTATAGGTTTTGATATGGGACCGGAAGCTATGTGAACACAGTAGTTCTTGCACATTTTAATACGTTAGTAGATTTAAACTAGATTCTAGGGGTAAACGGGATAAAACCAGGTAGAAATAAGCCTTGGGTATGGCAGGCAGATGTTTGAGGGACAGTGTGCTTGCAAGGTCCTTCAGTCTGCCATCTCACTCAAGGGAGGGGTTGGAGATCCATGCAGCAGCAAAGATGCCAGGATTACTGACGTGTTAGAAACCATGGAAGTGCCTGAGAATGGTCATGTAGGAGTTGGGGCTTCTTCCCCCATAAAGGTGGTGGGATCAATAGCCCAACTGAAGTACATCTACACCAGTGCACACAGCATAGGCAACAAATGGAGGAGCTGGAAGCTGTTGTGCAGCAGGAAGGCTATGACATAGCTGCAATCACGGAAACATGGTGGGATTACTCACACAACTGGAGTGCTGCGGTGGGTGGGTGGGTGGGTGGCTATAGATCTTTCAGAAGGGACATGCAAGGAAGGAGAGATGGTGGGGTGGCCATGTATGTTAGGGAGTGTTTTAACTGTTTAGACCTTAATGATAATGATGATAGGGTTGTTTATGGATAAGAATTGGAGGAAGGCCAGCAAGGCAGACATCATGGTCGCAGTCTGTTATAAACCACCCAACCTGAATGGAGGCAGACAAAGTACTCTATAAGCATCTGGGAGAAGTCTTGTAATAGCTAACCCTTGGTTTTG